ATGGGGGCTTCTTCTTTTCTTTTTTTTTTTTTTGCGGTACGCGGGCCTCTCACTGTTGTGGCCTCTTCCACTGCGAGCACAGACTCCGGATGCGCAGGCTCAGCGGCCATGGCTCACGGGCCCAGCCGCTCTGCGGCATGTGGTATCTTCCCAGACCGGGGCACGAACCCGTGTCCCCTGCATCGGCAGGTGGACTCTCAACCACTGCGCCACCAGGGAAGCCCTGGGGACTTCTTAAAGTTGCAAATTCCTGGGGTGTGGTCCAGGAAGCTGCCCCCCCCTCCCCAGGTGATTAGGGGGATCCTTGACCATAGCTGTGTCACCAGCTCCCAGCAGGTATTGGTGGAATGAATGTCTGAAAGAGCCCCGCTGAGCGCGTCACCAGCTGCTCCCCATCTCTGCTGAGTTCACTGAGCAAAGAAATGAGAACACCTGTTCCAGCCCATGAGGCTTACCAGCTAACTTTAAAACTGTTCATTTTATGTTTTAAGTGTGGGTTATAGTTATTCGTGAATAGCTATGACATTCATGGGTCCAAGTTCAAAAGGGGCTTAGCAACAGTTTCCCTCCTCCTGTCTCTCACCCACTCAGTTCCCTTACGTGCAGGCAGCCAGAGGCATCAGGTTCTTCTAAGTCTTCCCAAATAAATGTTATGCGTCACCAGGCCAACGTGAACCTATCTCCTCCCCCCTTTCTTGCATTTACATAAATGGTAATATACATGCTGCACAGTGTTCCGTACCTCGCTCTGTTCACTTCATTGTATTTGTAACTCAGAGAGACATTCTTCGTATCAGTAGGTAAAAAGCATCCTGAGCCTTTGTTATGGCTGTGCAGTATTCTGAGGAAGGCTGTGCAATCATATATAAGCGTTTGTGTTCAGTCTTTTGCCCTGGCATACGATGCTGTGATGAGTAACCTGTGTGTAACTGCCTGGGGGACATGAGTTGGGTACCGTGTGAAGGCTGCCGGTGAGTCAGGCTTGGTGAATTCGAGATTAAAAAGAAAACTAGCCCTCCTTGGAGGCTTTAAGCATGCAGCATAACTGCAGGAGTGGCTTTTTTGGGGGCTCTTGGAGGCAGGGGGTGGCCAGGAAGACCCTAACTGCCCCTCTGGTAGGAGGAGCCCATCGTGTGTATGCTCTCACCCCAAATGGCTCACCCGCACCCATCCACCCATCTGCTCACACACAAGCCAGCCAGAGCCTGGCTGGAGGAAAGGGATGGTCTGACTTGGGAGGGGTCGAGAGGGCTGGGCTCAGGGTTCTGGAGCAGAAGAGCATGGGAGTTCTGTCTCTCCCGCCTTTGGGCAGCCCTGCTTTGTGCGGGGCTCTGAGTATAGTGGGGAGGGGCACCCTCGGCCTGGTGCATGGAGAACCCTCAGGGCATGAGAGGGGCTTGGAGGGATCTAGAGCAGGTCCTGCACCCCCTCTAGGGGGATTCCTGTTCACCACTGACAGTCCAGCATCCACAAGAGTCCTGGACATAGTAGGTACTTAATAAGTTTTTGTGGCCCAAATGACTAAATGACCCCCAGTCCCCTCAAAAGATAACCCAGTGGGCTTCCCCAGGTCTCTCCAATGAAGCGAGGGGTTTGTAACTATAAGGCAATTTTTACATGGATTCCCATGTTTCCTCACATGCTGACTCAGTGTAGGAAGTCCTCCCTCAGTTCCTCAGTGACGTTTCCTGAGATAATCAACTCCCATGGTCACTTTGGGTCACTGGTGGACATTATGGTATGCCACCTGACCCCCTCTTCAGGGCAGAGGCATTAATTCCCCAGCTGCTATGAGTGTTGGCTTCCGGCTGCTCACAGCAAGTCCCTTTCCTGGAATCGTCTACTGCCAATTCCCAAGGTTACAGTCCCTCCTTGGGGGCAGCGACATCCAATGTGGGGAGACAAAGGGCAGGCTGCTTGTCTTAATTCAGGACAACTCCGAGGGCCCAGCCCCAGAGCATGCCAGGGGACTTCCCAAAACCTTTGTGGTCACTACATCCCAGTTCATCGTCTCCCACTGCCCCCCAGACTCCCTCCCACCTATGGTTCCTAAGAGCACCCTCCCACCATTCCCCCCACCCCACCCCCGGCCCAGAAACCTCCTGTGGGCAGAATCTGTTTCCGGGAACCAGACATAAAACAGTCACCAAACAATCTCAATTCAGAGGTTTGAAAGTTGAATCCCACACAAAAGAAAACCCCTTAATTTGCTTTTATGAAATTAAATCTATCCTCCCCCAAAAAGGTGATAATTATGTGATGGGATAGAGGTATCAGCTAACACTACAGTGGTCATCGTATTGCAATATATAAATGTATCAAATCAACACGTTTGTACACCTTAAACTTACACAACGTATATGTCAATTATATCTCAATTTTTAAAAAGTTAAGTCTTTCCCGTTAGGATTTAATGCAGCTGCAAAACTTAGAACTCTGGAAAGGGGATGCTTGGCTTCTTTCTTCCCCTTCTATCTGTCCAGCTGGCAAGTGGTGGTTCCTAACCGGTAGTAGGTTGAATAATAGCCCCCGAAAGATATCAAGGCCCTAATCCCTGGAACCTGTGTTATCTCATATAGAAAGAGTCCTTGCAGATGTGACTAAGAATTTTTGAGCTAAGATTATCCTGGATTATCTGGGTGGGCCGTAAATGCCATCACCAGTGTCTTTATAAGAGAAGCAGAGGGAGTGACATACACAGAAGGAGAAGGCAACCACCACACAGGCAGAGACTGGAGCGATGCAGCCACCCGCTGAGGCACGCCGACAGCCACCAGAAGCTGGAAGAGGCGAAGGGTGGATTCTCCCCTAGGGCTCCGGAAGGGACCCGGCCTTGCGGACATCTTGATGTCAGCCCAGTGAAACTGGTTCTGGACTTCTGGCCTCTAGAACTGTGAGAGGATAAATTTCTGTTGTTTTAAGCCACCGAGTTTGTGGTAATTTGTTAGAGCAGCTGCAGAAAACTAACGTGATTGCAGGAGAAGGGAGGGGAGATGGGTGTTAGGGAGGGAGGGAGGCAGCAGGAAAGTTCTTGCTCCTGAGCGCCATCACAAGATGCTCTACAGGGCTGGCAGGACTTAAACTGGTGCTGTCTCTCACTCGGGCTCCCCTGGCTCCTTTACTGATGCCCCGCATCCCCCATGAGCGGTTGGAGGAGGCTCGCTTGCACTTAGCTGATACAAGGGCCGCTTTAGCCGTCAGCTCATCTCTCCAGCCTTCTGCAGCTCCAGGAATCTGGCAAGGGCTTCCGCTTTTGTCCACTGAGCTCATTCACTGCTCCAGGCTGCCCTATTGGTCAGGTCTGGGGACAACCTCACACCAGCTTCCCCTTGTGCACGGCCCCTTCTGTCCACAAGAAACACTTGTGCATCTTCTGCCTCCGCAAATTCCAAGCGGGGTGGGGGTGGGGGGAGCTGATGCTCTTCAGAGAAAGAAGCACATGGTGACCGGGTTTATGGATCCCTTTCTCCTTAGTCTGTGTGAGGGCAGACACTCCGGATGACCATCTTTTTCCACCATCATGTTCTCCACGACCCACCTGAAAACAGCATCTTTGGGTGTTTTCTGAGCATCTCAGGCTCTATGGAGCCAAAATCTGGCCTCAATCATCAAGACCTCAAGTCACCAAGTTTTATTTTCTTCAGGGGAATCTTACGTCCTAATGTCAGGGCCATAAAAGAAAACATATGAAAAGGACACAGGGGGGACTAACAACCTCACTCCACGAAACCCATGGCTCCTATTCTGCGCCACGTCCAGCTAGACGGAGTGTGGCACAGCAGAAAACAAGAGGGACAAGACTCTGCTTTACAGGGCTTTCTAGCTGGTGGAACGGAAATGACAAATGGGAGAGACAATGAGAATTTGCTGATGTCTGAAACGTTTGCGTGTTTGAAACGACAGTCAGTTCTCCTGTCCCCCTTGGGTTCTTGCATTCCATGTCTGTTGCCTTTTTTCCAAAGGACAATGTGACCAGGAATCAGGCTGCACCTTTGCCCTCGAACCTGATAAATATCGCTCTGTGGTATCCGAAGCCTGAGGCTGCCACGACTTCATCTCTGCTGCTCTTTCCTGCCGAGTGTCCCTGTGATCCAGTCAACTTTTTATAACTTTATTTTTTTAATCCTGAAATACAGAGGAGTGCAGTTAACATACACACACATTAAAGCAAATAATCAAATGAGCATCTGTACACCTCAGGCAGTTCACCTGGCTGGCTGTTTGGAAACTGACTTCAGTGCAGCTCTGGGGATGTGCTGCACCCCTGGGGGGGGGGGCTCAGCCCTCCTCCTCCCCCCTCAGTCTCCCTCAGAGGCTCCTTGGGAAGATTAGAATTAACTAGGCTCAGATCACAGAAAATTTTATAGACCCAATGTATGCCCGGTAAAGAAAGACATATGCAGGAATGTTGGCCTTCAATGTATCCCGGTCGAACCTTCAAGTTTGTAATATTCAATTCGACCATGACAGTGAGTGAATGAATAAATGAATGAATGCCAGGAGCATTAGCTTGGCCTCACATACAAAGTGACTGTAAAACGTCATTGCAGGGGTTTCCCTGGTGGAGCAGTGGTTGAGAATCCGCCTGCCAATGCAGGGGACGCGGGTTCGTGCCCTGGTCCGGGAGGATCCCACATGCCGTGGAGCGGCTGGGCCTGTGAGCCATGGCTGCTGAGGCTGCGCATCCGGAGCCTGTGCTCTGCAACGGGAGAGGCCACAACAGGGAGAGGCCCGCGTACCGCAAAAAAAAAAAAAAAGTCATTGCAGCTTCTCACAGCAGAAGTGAGTTTTCAATGCCATGACCATGTTGGGGTCCTCGGTGAGGATTTCAGGGGCTGGGGCACAGGGGAAGGAATCAAGCCACTGCCCAGAGGGGTGATCCTCCACCCCTCCCCGGGAGCCAAAATGTCCCCAAGAGCTCTTGCTGTGCCTCACTGCAGGGGACCAGAGCCTCTGGCCAGGATCTTCCGGGGACTGGGGGACGGGGGCGCAGAATGGGCTCAGGGCACCATGCACCACCACTTGAAGGAGAAGGGCTGCCGGCGCACGTTGGTGCCGCAGTGCACATTCCCCTGCTGAACGTGGTAGGTGTAGAAGTCATCGATGAAGGTGCAGTGGAGGCCCAGAGGCTCCAGCAGGGACCGCACCTTCTCCTCCAGGCAACAGCGGCCGTTGATGATGGGCCCGAAGGGCTTGGGGGTGCCCAGGTGCTTCCCCAGCACCAGCATGTTCACCTGCAAAGAAGCGGGAGCCCAGGTCAGGGGCAGCAGCGTGCAGCCTGCGGCACCATCTGAGTGCCCCCTTCCTCTTCTGACCTTTGGAAATAACAGCCCCACTTCACAGATGAGCAAACTGAGGCCCAGGCCGGTAACGTGAGCTACTGAAGGCCACCCAGCGAGTCTAGGACTTCTACTCAAATCTCTCCGACTCCGGGGTCCACATTCTTAACACTGCTCTCTCCTTCCCCACTGCCACCCTGTGGCAAACTCGATTACTCAAGGCCCAGCTCAAGTACCACCGCCTCCGTGAAGCTGCCGGTGAGTTAGCCATCCTCCTCTGTGTTTCCATAGCTCCCAGCACAGTGCCTGGCACAGAGTAGGCACTTAATAAATATCTGTTGATATGATCTGGTGAATAAGTGACTACCTATTTTGGGGCACCTTCCATATGTTATACCTTATGTAAGTGACTATGTTTCCTCCGTTATATTGGGAGGTGGCCTGGTGAGGTGAAAGGATGAGGATTTGGGCTCCAGGCCAACATGGATTTGAATCCCAGCACTACTATTATATAGCTGTGTGGCCTTAGGCAAGTCACTTCGCCTCTCTGGGCCCCATCAGCAAAGAGAACCCAAACACATTTCCATTGCTGTGACAATTGGAGAAGAACCTGTATGCAGAGTCTGTGCCAGCTCGTGGTAAGCACGGAGTAAGTCTCCAGGGCTTACGAGTCACCGAAGGGGCATCTCACCGCTCAGATGTAGCCCATGCCAAGTGCCTGGCACTCCTCATTTCTCCGCCTGTTCCATGCCCAGGCCCACGCCCCCACCGCCCATCACGGGGCTCCTGGGAGAGTCATGGCTCAGGCTCCAGCTCCCTCTGGAGCCGCGCACAGTGGAGGAACGAAGTCGGCCCTCAGCATAGCTGATTACTTCATCTGAGATGCCTCATCCCCCATCTGTCAGCATCAGCTTTCTTGCCTGGCTGGGCTAAACTGGAGAAAACATGAAATGCTTGGGGCCAATTTTATTCCAGGGGTTAAGAGGAGGGTGCCCCCTCCTGTCTCATTTTAGCCAAGGAAGCTTTATTCTAAACAAAATCTTCTGCAGCACTTCAGTGCATGAAACAGACAAAATCTAAACCACTGCATTTGAGGTCCTACCTTGGAACCCCAGGGCCCTGGAGAACCCAGTTTGAAGACCACTGTGCCAGGGACTACAGGCTCTTCCCTGAACTGTAATCCGCAGCTGCAGCGGGAGAGGGGGCTGAAGGACCCCAGTAGAATTGGGTGAGGTTTCTGCCTGGCCTTTGGGTATTCTTGGAAGAGACACAGCAAGAGGGCAGAGGGACGGGAAATATATACCAGGCGACTTCAAGATGTTGCTGGGGTCAGTTAAAAGTTCTCGACAAAAGTGGATCTCCCTCAAGTTCACCCTTCAGACAGGTGAATCCCACTTAGCCAGGCAGTGCCAGCCTAACCTCCTCAGAGAGGCCTTCCTGGACCAGTCTGAAAAGGTGCCCCACCTTTATTCCCTTCATGGTACTTAATTCGACCTGAGAGCATCCTGCTTGTTGCTTGTCTCCGCCCCCCAGAACCTGCCCCATTCCTACCTCACCTGCCACCGAAAGTCCACAGGGGGCAGTTCAGCCAGACCCCAGGCTCTGAATCCCACCTCTTGCCAGGGACCTGGTCTCCCTGGGCATCATCTGTAAAGTGGGGGCGATGATAGTCTTTGACCCCCAGGTGGTTGCCTAAAGCCTCTGTAAGGCGGATAGGGCCGTGCAAACCCCAACGGGTGAGGAGCCAACCAAGCCTCCTGGACCCAGTGCCCAGCTGGCCTCTCTGACTTAAGGCTACTCAGAAGGTCACTTCCTCACCATGTTTGGGAAAAAGGCTTCCACCTTGAGGGTCCCTTTGAAGCCTTTCTGGAGCTTGAAGAGCTGGGGGATGTCCACGATGTCCCCTTCCTTCACGCCCAGCTCCTGTTCCAGTCGATGCATTTCTGGGGGGGCGGGAGGAGGGGACGGCGGTGGGCGGGGCGGGGCTAGCACGGGGCGGGGCGCGGACTGCCGTTGGGGAGGGGCAGGTGGGGCTGAGGCCCGGCCAGGGGAAGGACCACGGACAGGGTCAGGAAGGCGGTGATGGGCACCTCCTTTTCCTCCCTCCTTCCCTCCCTCTGCTCAGTCCCTCTGCCTCTCTTTTCTGCTTCTGTGTCCCTGCCTTTCCAGTCACTCCAACGCTTGGCCTCTCTCCTGCCTCTGTCCCTCTGTTTCTGAGAGTTTCCCCCATCTTTCTCCAGCTCCAGCTTTGCCAATTCTCTCTCCTCCCTGCATCACCTTGTGTGTATTCCTGTAGTGGTGACCAAGGTCTCCTCTCTCTCTTTCTCTCTCTCACACACACATTGACCCAAATCCCAGGGCTGTTCATCACTGAGCCCGTGGAAGGCTCTGCCTTGGGCCTCTAACCACAGGGAAGGGGGCTGGAGGTGGGGGTGGGAGTGTCGGGTCTGCCCGGGATATGGCATCTCCTGGGCAGCCAGGCTAGTACCTCCACATATGAATTATGTTCTCTCAGTTTCTCGTTTGACAGAATGTCCTTTATTTTCTGCTGGGTTTTGTCTGTCATGGAGAAAAAGAAAAGAAAAAAAGCAGATGAATTCAGAGGTCCATTTTGCTCTTCCCAGCAGGTCCAGTCGGGGCTCAGTTTTCCCATCTATAAAATGGGGGCAGCAATGATTCCTAAAATATAGGTTTATTATGAGCATCTGGGAGGCAGATGACTTTAATAAAATAATCTATCAGGGTAAGTTCTCATTAAGAGTTTTAACTTCGCTCCCTTAAATTCTCTTATCTCCAAAGGGATCCCGTTTCTGGAGGGGCAATCAGAGGTCTGACCATTGCCTGATGCTACAGGACATATACAGATATTAGGTGAAAACTCTCAGCCATGGTGACTTCAACCTCTGACTCTGACCAGTGTCTGTGGATTTCACTGAAAAAAATATTTTATTCTGTGCTCCACCCAGACTGAACTTTTTTCAGGTCCTCAAACACATCTTGCGTTCTCCTGCCTCTGTGCCTTTGCTGTTCCTTCTGTCTGGAATATCTCTCTTCCTTCCATCCCACTGCCCCGTTTGCCTGGCCAACTCCTGCTCATCTCTCACGCTCATGCTTGATCTTCGCCTCCTCCAGGAAGCCTTCCTTGAGCTCCTCTCAGACACCCCTCAATGCCCCTGTGTTTAGTTGTTTCCTTGACTCACTTTGCCCTGGACTCTGGGTCCTGAGGGCAGGGAGCTATTCTGCCCTGTTCATACAGCATCCCCAGCACTTAGCACAAAGCCTGGTGCTCAGTGGCTACTCAGACGTCTGTTGCCTGAATGATTCCGTCTGGCAATAGGAGACCATGTGAAGGCAGAGGAAGTTTCCCAGGTAAAAGAACAGGCACAGCCATCTTACTCTTGACCCCTTGGAACAGCAGAGCCTCCCCATGGCCTTCCTTCATTCGCTCCTGGAACAGTTTGTAGCAGGACCTGGGGCTGGCCAGGAGCAGCCAGAAGCCCTGGAGGCAGAAACCCTGGGGTCAGAGGTCAGCTTTGCCCTGGGTCTCCTAAGGAGGAAGGCTCTGCTGGGGGTACGGGGAGTGTGGGTTTGGACCTGGGCAGGCCGCCTCTTACATGCCCCCTCCTGGGGGTGAGGGAAAAACAGAGTCAGGAAGGTAAGGTCAGTCACCCCCAGGCAGAGGCAGAGCTGTGTTTGGAAACCCAAGAAGAAGGCATGTGGCTTCCTCCAGGGAGCCCCCCGGACTGCACCTTCTTGTGCACTGGACCGAAGTTCAGGAACTCATCCACGTGGCCCACAGACAGCCAGTCGGAGTAGAGTTTCACAGGGGCCTGCACCTGCTGGGCACTGAGGAAATCCTGCAGGTCCTGGTGCGTCTCCTGGCTTTCCTTGCTGCCAACGCGGGGTTAAAGGAGTGTTATGGGGAGATGGGGGTGGGGGAGCCAACAAAGGTGGGGATTAACAAGGAAGTCTCTTCGGGACTGGGACTTGGCGAAGGGGTCAAGGTTCTCCTTCAGGGAAGGGATTCAGGACCCTGGGATACCTTTTTTTTTTTATTACATCTCCATCTTCATGAGAAGACCGGGCAGGTGACACACCTCTCATCCCGTATTAGTTTCCAGCTGCTGCTGTAACCCAATTCGTGGCTTCAAGCAACACACGTTTCTCTCTTACGGTTCTGAGGTCAGAAGTCTGGAATCAGTTTCGCTGGGCTAAGATCAAGGGGTGGCATGTTGGTTCCTTTGGAGGCTCCGGCAGAGAATCCATCTTCTTTCCTTTTTCAGCTTCTAGTGGCCATGTTGGCTGGTCGCCTCTTCTTCCATCTCTTCAATGCCCATCACTCCAACCTCTGTTGCTGTCATCACATGCATTTTCCCACCGCAACCCACCTTCCTCCCTCTCACAAGAAGCGCTGTGATTACATAGAGCCCACCCAGATCCTGAGAATCCCCATCTCAAAATCCCCAACTTAATCACATCTGCAAAGCCCCTGTTGCCATGTAAGACAGCATCTGCTTCTGGGGATTAGGCCACATTTGAGGAGCCATCATTCGGTCTACTTACTGCACCTATAGCTCGGCTTCCTACAAGTCGACGGTCTGTACCCTGGGGCTTCATGGGGGCCACAGACTCCCTGAAAAGAGATTCCAAATAGTGAGCTTGGGTGCATTTTTCTGGGAAGATGACTAGTCTCAAGGAGGTCTGTGATAGCATAAGTCTAAAAACCATCATTTCCAAATCGTCCCTTTCTCTCTAAAACCCATGCCAACCTGACTTCCTCCCCGGCTGGGCCGTCAACACTGCTCCCTCGAGGTCTTCGTGGTCACACAGCTAAACCCAAGGGCAGTGCCCAGGCTTCCTTGTCCATTAGCAGCATCCGAGTCAGCTGGTCACCCCCATGTCCCTCCCACACTTTCTGCACTTCGCTTCGGCCATTGCTCCCTCTCAGCCTCCTGTGCACTGGGGGCCCCAGACCTGGTCCTTGATTCACTCCCTCCTTTGACGATCTCACCCAGTCTCACGAAATACCACCCACGTGCTGACCACGCCCACGTTTATATCTCAGTCTGTATTTCCCTCCCAAACGCCGTACATGTGGTACAATGTCTGACTTGGATGTTGACTAAATATCTCACATTTGCCCCAAGCAGAACTGCTGATCCCCACTTCCCAGCTCCTTGTTCCCTGTGCCTCCCTCAGTCCTCCCATCTCAAGGGATGACACCTGCCACTCACAAGGGTCAAAACCTGAAGTCATCTAGGCTTGTCTCTCCCTCACAGCATCAGGAAATCCCATTGGCTCTGTCCTCAAAACATGTCCCAAATCTGGCTGTTTCTCACCCCCTCCCCTGCTCCCCTGGTCTGCAGCCCCATCATCTTTCCAGTTACAGCACCAGCTTCATCCCCACTCTCCCTGCTCCCACCCTTGCCCCACTGCCGTCCATTCTCAGTGGGCAGCCAGAGGTTCTCTTTAATAACATCAATCAGGTCATAATTGTCCCCTGTTTAAGACTCTGCAATGATTCCCTAGTTTCTCAGATTCTAAACAAATGGCTTTACGATGGCCAAGAAGCTCACAGGATCCGTCTCCCCACTACACCTCATCCCCGTCACCTCTCTGCCTCTCCTACCACTTTGCTTCTTGCTCACTCAGCTCCACCCCTTCAGGCCTCCTCGCTATTCTGTGAACATGCCAGGCATGCCCTGCCTCAGGGCCTTTGCACTGGCTGTTCCACCGCCCAGAACACTCTTCACCAAGATATCTACAGAGTCAACTTCTTCACCTCTTTCCTGTTTTGGCTCCAGTGTCAGCTTCTCAAAGAGGCCTCCCCTGACCATTTTATTTAAAATTGCAATCCAGTCCCCCCACCACTCTGGCACCTGTGAGCCCCTTGATTCTGCTCTTTCTTTTTCTGTAGTACTTGATTTCACCTCCCAACATATAACGTAATGTATTTATTCATTAAACATATTGTTCCTTGTCAATCTCTCTGGGCTAGAATGTCAGCTCTATGAGGGCAGGGGCCTTGGCATTGCTCACCAATAGATTCCAAGTGCCTAGAACAGGGCTGGGCACAGAGTATGTGCTCAAAGAACATTTGATGAATGAATAGCAAATTCATCCAAGTCACTGCCCTGGCTGTCGCCATGAGAAGAAAGCTACCTAGGCTGCAGGCTTGGATTTCTGCAGGCGAATGAAGCGGTATCCATGGTCTGGAGAAGGGCCCCCCAACCCAGAACAAGATGTGCAGGAGATGCTCACATGTGCTACTCGCTACAGATTCCAGCACAGGCTTAGAATGTGGCCAAGTTCTCCTCCAGTCTTTCTGGTTCATCAAAGATGAAAGTCCCAGAGCGGGTGATGCAAATCCACCCTTAACACCCGCTAACCTCCCGTCTTAACAAGCGGAGGGTGAAACCTGGTTCGGAGTTTCTGCAGTCATTTGTGTGGAGCTGGATTTAATAGCACTCTTTTGTTTTCATTCTCTTTAACTTCAAGGTTCAATGCTTCTACTTATGGCAAGTGCTACTGGTGTTCCACTGACCGGTTTAAAATGTACTGATGTTGTCTTGTGGGAGAACACCCACCACGTGTAAGCTGCATGCTAAGTGCCTGGTGTACAGTGATGGGCACTACGGCCCAGGCATGCCCTTGTGGTGCTTCCAGTCTAGCGGGGAGACAGAGGATGGAGAGTAAACAGTCCGGTGATTTATAACAGAAGGAACCAGCAGTGCTACAGTGGAGAATGCCAGGGGCATGGATGTGTCCTTCAGTACCAGGATGGCCTCACTAAGGAGGGCATTGAAGCTGAGACCTGAAGGTGGAGAAGCAGCCAGACATGTGAACCGGGAAGCTAACTGGGAAGCGGGAACAGCATATGAAAAGGCCCTGGGGCAAGCACAAGTTGGGTACATTTGAAGAACAGGAAGGAGGTCAGTGGGGGGCCAGTGGGGCTGGAGCCAGGTGAGGGACAGGGAAAGTGGCCCATGACGGGGTTGGAGAAGCAGATGGGGCCGTTGCCTGCCGAGGAGTTTGACTTTTTTTTTTTAACATCTTTATTGGAGTGTAATTGCTTTACAATGGTGTGTTAGTTTCTGCTTTATAACAAAGTGAATCAGCTATACATATACATATATCCCCAAATCTCCTCCCTCTTGTGTCTCCCTCCCTCCCACCCTCCCTATCCCACCCATCCAGGTGGTCACAGAGCACCGAGCTGATCTCCCTGTGCTATGCGGCTGCTTCCCACTAGCTATTTTACGTTTGGTAGTGTATATATGTCCATGCCACTCTCTCACTTCGTCCCAGCTTACCCTTTTCCCTCCCCATATCCTCAAGTCCATTCTCTATGTCTGCATCTTTATTCCTGTCCTGCCCCTAGCTTCTTCAGAACCTTTTTTTGTTTGTTTTTTAGATTCCATATATATGTGTTAGCATATGGTATTTGTTTTTCTCTTTCTGACTTACTTCACTCTGTATGACAGACTCTAGGTCCATCCACCTCATTACAAATAGCTCAATTTCATTCCTTTTTATGGCTGAGGAATATTCCATTGTATATATGTGCCACAACTGCTTTATCCATTCATCCGATGATGGACACTTAAGTTGCTTCCATGTCCTGGCTATTGTAAATAGAGCTGCAATGAACATTGTGGTACATGACTCTTTTTGAATTATGGTTTTCTCAGGGCATATGCCCAGTAGTGGGATTGCTGGATCGTGTGGTAGTTCTAGTTGTAGTTTTTTAAGGAACCTCCATACTGTTCTCCATAGTGGCTGCATCAATTTACATTCCCACCAACAGTGCAAGAGGGTTCCCTTTTCGAGGAGTTTGACTTTGATCCCAATTCTTTTCCTGAGTGATTTGAATACCCCAGACGAGAGTGGCTAAGAGACCGTCGCAGCCCCCCTCTTCCGAGGCTGTCTGTGGGTTGGGTGAGGACACCTGTGCTGTGGTGTCTGTCTGTGGGCCTGGCAGCTGGCTTGTGACGTCAGAGAGCCTAGCCTTCCTCACTCTTGGAGACATGGCCACGGAACACAATAGGACTGAAATCAGCGAGAAGGGCCAAAGTCTCAGCACAGCTGGCAAATTCATCCTGCTGCTCCTGAAACAGGATTAACCTGATTCTGTGGCAGAGAGACACCAGTGACCCCAACTAAATTCCCTCATTGTCACCACTCAGCACAGGAGAACAAGCGAGTTAAACTCAAGTTTCTTTTCAAAGCCTCCTGCGTGGGCAGGGCTGCTTCCTTTCCCCTTGGGGCACAGGGTGCTCCTTGGAAAGCCATTCACCACAGCAAACCTTGCACCCCGCACTCTTTCCTTTGTTTTCCCTGGTGCCTGAGGTTAGGGGGCTGTCCAGGCTCAGATCGCAGGCCTGGGGTCTTACTGGGAAAGCAGGGAGCAGGGTGCTCATGGCCCAGTTTGAATTCTAGCTTCACTCTCTTTTTGTGTGACTTTAGGAAAGCTGCTTCACCTCTCTGAGCCTCAGTTTCTTCATCTATAAAATGGGTCTAGGACTTCCCTGGTGGCGCAGTGGTTGAGAGTCCGCCTGCCGACGCAGGGGACACGGGTTCGTGCCCCGGTCCGGGAAGATCCCACGTGCCGCGGAGCGGCTGGGCCCGTGAGCCATGGCCGCTGAGCCTGCACGTCTGGAGCTTGTGCTCCGCAACGGGAGAGGCCACAACAGGGAGAGGCCCGCATACCGCAAAAAAAAAAAAAAAAAAATGGGTCTAGTGATAGCATCTACCTTAGAGGTTGTTAGATTAAATGAGTCAGCTCATGTAAGAATTTAGCCCTTTGAATGCCACAGAACGCGTGCTCAATAAATGTAACCATTATTATTACTATTATTATTATTGTTCTTTGCTGAGTTTGCCCGAAACTGCCAGGTTAGTCAAGCATGACTCACTAATATGTCACCCTCGCCCCACCCCCCAAACACACGTAGAGACCTTGGCTGATAAAGTCACACCGAGGAAGTGACCACTCTGATCCTGAACACCCCCATGTCCCAGAGGGAGCCCCCCAAAGACCAGCCTCCCACCCAAAAGACAGAGCCTCCAGCTGGACATTGGGGAAGGTTCTGGTCCTGGCCCTACCCTCACCTTCCAGCAAGAGCATCTTTTTTTTTTTTTTTTTTTGGCCGCATTGCACAGTATGTGGGATCTTAGCTCTCCGACCAGGGATTGAATCCGTGCGCCCTGCAGTGGGAGCGTGAAGTCTAATCCACTGGACCGCCAGGGAAGTCCCAAGAGCATCTATGGAGAGGACTAATGTCCTCGGCAGGGTTTTCCTGAGGACAAAGTGAGCTCATGGCCAGAAAGTGCTCTGGGAAGGGAAGAGCCAGATCTCATCACATCACAAAAATGCCCCGCAGCCACCTGTGTGGTGGCTGCTTGGGCAGGACGCCCCGGCCACCTGTGTGGTGGCTGCTTGGGCAGGACGCACACCTGCAGGATGCTCAGCAGCAGGCGGGGGTGGGAGACAGAAAAGGAGGAAGGAGGCCTCAAGGCAAGGGTTTCAGCACTGGTGCCCATCCCCGCCTAGTACGTACCAGCATGCATTTGATGGGGAAATCCTTCAGGCCTCTGTTCCTTGGGGAGGCAAAGACCACGGGCAGCGTTTTGTGTGGGGCTTGGATGCAGCCGATCTCCATCTCATCCTGTGAAGAGAGAGTGCAGGGGAGGCTGTTACGTGCGCTGCCTGGGTCTCAACCCCCAGCGCAGGGATGGGGGTGTGGAACCATCCACACGCTCCCCCTTGCCGTCAAGGGCAAACGCACGTGGGACATTCAACTCCAGAGGAGGGGCTCCGGGAAAGCAGAGCTTACTGTCCTGTATTTGAACCAACGTGTAGTGGAATCAATGGCGTGCCCTTCACTCTCGCTCCTGGTAAGTGCCCGGCCAGATGCCAGGGACCCATGGTGTACGAGCCTGTCCTCAAGGGGGGATCCAGGAGCTGGGCACTCACCACCCGGTGCTAGGAGGTGATGGGAGGGAGGTGAGGGGTCTTCGGGAACACGGAGGAGGGACTCCTGATTCAGTTGGGACGGGTCAGAGGAGAGTTCTTAAAAAGAACCTACTTTATAGCACAGGGAACTCTACTCAATGCTCTGTGGTGACCTAAAAGGGAAGGGAATCTAAGAAAGAGAAGACTTATGTATATGCGTAACTGATTAACTTTGCTGTACAGCAGAAAGTAACACAACATTGTAAAGCAACAATACTCCAGTCAAAATTAATTTTAAAAAAAGAGAAAGAGGGCTTTCCTGGTGGCGCAGTGGTTGAGAGTCCGCCTGCCGATGCAGGGGACACGGGTTCGTACCCCAGTCTGGGAAGATCCCATGTGCCGCGGAGTGGCTGGGCCTGTGAGCCATGGCCGCTGAGCCTGCGCGTCCGGAGCCTGTGCTCCGCAACGGGAGAGGCCGCAACAGGGAGAGGCCCCCGTACCGCAAAAAAAAAAAAAGAGAGAAAGAGCATTGCTGAGCTGAGGCTGGAGGGCAGCAGTAGCTCCGCCCCAAAGGAGGGCAGGTGAGGCCCCAGCCGAGCCCATGGGGCAGAGACGGGGAGGGTGCAGAAATGAATGGGGTACACATCCTGCCTGTATTTTAGCAGGCAGGCGTGATCTTGGACACATCACTATTAGCTGAACCATCCGAAATTGCCATTCTTGGAGGTAAAAAATGGTGGCATATCAGCCATTTCTTCTGGTTCAACCTGATTTAACACAGATGGAAGGATGAGAAAGGAAGAGAGGGTATTATCTGGAGGTTTAGAAGAAAGAGGAATGAATTCCCGCTGGAAGGATTGAGGACATTTATGGAGGCGATTCGAGCTGGGATATGACGGGACTGATTTGGACGTGGGGGTGGGAATGGGGAGGGCGGCTGGAGAGAAGGAACAGGGCTATGGGATGGGGTGGGAGCAGGGCGGGCAGCATGGAAGGAGAGGCACGGAGGCTCGGTCAGCCCGCCAACTGCCCACTAGCACCACCCAATGCCAGGTTCTCGGTGCTGAGCTGAATGAGACTCCCTCTCTGCCCTCAGGGGGCTCATGGCACGACGGGGTGGAGGGGGAGCCTGGCACAGAGACAGAATGGTGATCCAGTGTGGCCGGTGTGGGACAGCCAGATTGAGAGGCAAGCTGAGAAGGAGGAGATGGGAGCCATGGAAAGTGCTGGAGCAGGGGTGTGGCCTGGCCTGGTGGCCGAGCCCGGGAAGGCTGGCTTGGAGGGAGGCTGCTAGGGGGAATGGTTGAGCTCCAGCCCCCTGAGCTTTGCAGCATTTCCTCAATTTCCTGAAGTTGTCTGAGAGTTTTCAAGCAGGAAGGTGGTCATCTTGGTGACCACGGCGGGCGTGACGTGTCCACAGTAGATGTCAGTGGAGTCACTTGCCTGAGCGCTCCGTCTGTGAGGACCCTCAGAGGCTCCTAACTCCCCGCCTGTCTGAGGAAGGGTGACCAGCCAGGTGCTCGGCCGAGCCCTAGGAGCCCAGGTCCCCGTGTCCCTTGACCCTCAGGGCTGCGCCTCCTGTGTGCCCGGGCCACGCACCTGCATCCACCGGTCATTCGTGCTCTCCTCCTTGGCACAGACCCTCAGCCTGCACCTGGCTTTCTTGGCCAGAGCAGCCACTGACTTCAGGAAATCCTCATTTGCAAATAACCTAAAAAGAACAGAAAAAACAACCTCCTTAGTGCCCTTGACTCAGCAGCCAGTGGCCTTGGCTGGCCTTGAGGGGGCAAGCTGGACCCCCTGGGGTGTCTCTAGGGATGGAGCAGGACCTCAGGGCTGGATGGAGGAGGGGAGGGGCACGGTGGGTGCTCCAAGGCACCTGGAGCCTGGACAGAGACCACAGCTCACCCTGTGTCTCTGCTCTTAGCAAGCATAGCTCACTGAACTCTGGTAACAACCCAGGAGGGGAGCTAGTGGGCAGCCTTCCACCGAGGAGGAGACAGAATGAGGAGGTCAGAGCTCAAGGTCACGCCATCTGGGTTCGAACCCAGGCCTTGCTGGCTTCCAGCCTGCGTCCTGACCATGGGGTTACATTCTCACCCCTTCTGCCCCAAAGCAATGGGAAGAGGAGAGGGGAAGGTCCCCCTGTGACCCCGCATTGTTAGCAGGGGCTCTCAGACTGCAGGAGCCTCCCCGGCAACTCGTCCCGTCCCCAGAGTCGAGACCCAGCGGTTCAGAGGCTGGCCCAGAACGTGCATTTTAACTGAGTGCCCAGGGGTTTCCGGTGCAGAAGACTCACAGGCTGCCCTCTGAGGGGACAAATTATTACATATTACAGTTATTATGTGCAGCAGGGAGACATTGAGGGAAACGAGCCCTGGGAAGCTGGCGTCTGGGGAAGCCAGGCCCTCCACATAGAAGTCTGTGCTGTGATGGCCACCCTGGGGCTCCAGGGGGTGAGAGGGGTGCCGTGGCCCCAGGATCATGCCGTACCTGGAGGGCTGTCTGTCTGCTGGGAGAGAGCAAGGGAGGCTCAGGTCTGCGTCCCTACTTCTGAGACCTTGTCTTCTTGGTGTGTGATGCCTTCCCAAGGCCGTGGCATCTCACCCCTAAGGATCCCTCACAGCGGGATCTGGCAGGAGCCTCCCCTTAGGAGGAAGGGACTAAAGGCCCCGCCCTCGCCCTCCCGATGGAGGTCCAGGAATGGAGCGATGAGGGTGCCTGAGTCATTCACAACTTTGCAGAAAGTCCAATATACGTTATAGTTCATTCATTCATTCATCCATCCATTCACTCCCTATCACCTGCTCTCAGGTGACACCTGGAAAGACCAGGGTGACAGTCACTGTCCTGGTCCCCAGGGAGTGCACAATCTCCTGGGTAAGTAGGGAGGAGCAAAGACAGTCAAAATTACAGATAGTAGTAAGTTCTGGGAGGTCAGGGAAGGCTTCCTGGAGGAGGTGATACCTCCATAGAGGCAAGGAGTTGGTTTGTGGCCAAACCAATGTCAGTCTAATCGCTGAGGTTTGAATGGAAGTCAGATCAAGTTGCGCCTCTGCACAGCCCTCAGATGGCCCCCCACCTCCCACAGACTAGAAGCCACAGTCATTTCCTGCCTCCCTGACCCAGCCCCTTCCCCTCTGGCCTTTCTTCTCCACCCTCATCCCCCCCCCCCCCAACCCTTGCATTACACACTCCAGCCGAGCCAGCCTCCCTACATTCCTCAAGCCCATGGGCACATCCCACCTCAGGGCCTTTGCACCTGTGGTTCCCTCTGCCAGGAGTGCTGTTCCCCTGGGTGTTCCCACACCTCTGTCTGCTCAATGACACCTTCTGGGGGAAGCCTTCCCCAGCCCCCCTTCCCCACACCCCTCGTTCTCTTCCTTTTCACTGTTGCATCCCTCTGTGTAGCATTTAATGCCATCTGAGGCACTAGACACTTTACTTAATGATTTTACATATCATTGCTCTCAACCCGCTAAGATGAAAGTGACATGAGGGCAGAGACTTTGTTTTGTTCTTTGCCTAGAACCGAGCCCGGCACTCAGTGGCAGGTGCTCGCAAGCCGCTGAGAAGTTACTGATGTCTCTGATCACCAGGTTGTTGGGGAACAAATTATTACATATTACAGTTCTGATGTGCAGTCAGCTTGGATTCAAAAACCTCTGTACACAACAGTCCTGTGTGTGTGTGTGTGTGTGTGTGTGTGTGTGTGTGTGTGTGTGACAGAGACAGACACACAAAGAACAGCTACAACAGTCCTTGGGAGGGAGGTCATTTCCTTCTCAGTGCTCACCCAGCACCAGACATCATCTTGTTTGCTGCATTTTGTCTGTGCCCTTTCTACAAGGCAGTGGGCAGAGATGTCCATCGTGCTTACTGCTGCATCCTCAGTTCTTAGAACCTGGCACAGGGTAGGTGCTCGGGAATTATTCACTGAAGTGTGTGTGAAGGGGCTGAGTCCCATTGGCTGGGGTGGGAAGGGAACACCAAGGTGATGGCCAAGGGCGACTCACCATTGGCTCGAAACACCTGACTTTATCCATCTCAGACTTGGCCACATGGAGCACCAGCTGGTGCTTGCTGAAGTCCCTGGGGGTCTTCGTCTCAGGGTCACCAAGGACATGTCCTTCAGGTCTGGAATGAGAAGGGCATGGCCTGAGACGCAGGCCCCTGAGACTACGCCCCCCCACCCAAGACCACCCTTCATCACGTCACCTGCTTTATTTTCCTTATGCTCTTTCCAGTATTTAAACAATATTTTTCATTTTAGACTTAAAGGAATTCAAGGTTTTGGTCCTCTCCCGCTAGGATGAACTTAGGATGTAAGCTGGCCAAAGCAGAAATCACATTTATCTTGTTTGTTGCTCTGTTCCCAGCTCCGAGAAGCATCTAGAACAATGCCTAGCACAAGGCAGGTGCTCAATAATTATTTGTGGGGTGAATGAGTGGAAAGGTTTCTCCCCGGGGCCTGCGTGCGAAGTGAGCCAACCTGAATAGTGGCCGGCAAAGGCTTGGGGAGATTGAAGATGGACGAGAGTCAGAGGCTGGACAAGAGTCACGTGGTCAAGGGCACTGGAGTGGGCGGGGTTTGAACCCTGGATCTCTGTGGGCTTGGGGAGGTATTTCAGCTCTCCGTCCCTCTGCTTCCTCGTAAATACACAGGGCTAAGCGCAGAGCCCACACGGAGGGAAGGGTGCAGTCGTATGTGTAAAGTGCGTATTATAGCGCCCGGGCTGTTTGATAATTACTGTGTGCCAGGCAGCGTGTAGAGGCTGCTCCCTGGCATCAGGCCAGGCCAACTCCATGCAACTTTAAAATGCATCCATTTCTAGGCCATTCTAGCAACTCCCCAGGAAGGCGGCAGCTGCTGCCCGGGCCAAATAATCCTGCCCCCCTCGGCGCCCTCCTCCAGTGCAGGTCTTCCACCCTGGCCATGCCTCAGAGGTGTGCCAGCAGGGACCCTGCGCCCAACTTGTGCCCCTAAACCTGCCCTGGTGTTGGGATGCCTGGGTTCAAATCCTGAGCCTGTGACTTACTAGCTGTGTGACCCAGAGCAAATTGCTTCACTTCCCCATACCTCAGTTTTTCCATCTGTAAAGTGGGGCTGAGGACCATACATACTTCTGAAACTTGAGCTGAAGGATCAAATGAGTTAAGAATTCTGAACTGGTCCGAGCAGTGCCCAGCCTATGGCTGGGGCTCAGGGCTGCTCTGGCATGAATTTGGGGCTCTAGTCAGGCTTTCATTTTGAATTATTTTGGGCCCCAGGTTTGACCCAAGAGCAGAAGTTTGGGTTGGTTAAGGGCTGGGGATGGAAATTGGGCCCTGGAGGAGGCATTGGGAGACTGAGCGTTGCTCCCAGCTCTTCCCTGGCTGCTGTGTGACCTTGGGCAGGTTACTTGCCCTCTCAGGACCCCTGTCCATTCCTTTACCTACATAACAGTCATGCTAAAAAGAACATGCTTCCAATAACCCTGGTTTCCGAGGGTTGTTACAAGGCTCAGGACAAAAGCTTCACAAAAAGGCAATGCTCTATTCCCATTGGTTCTTGGGGGGTCTTTACCTTGGCTGTCAAGCTGGTCATCCTTGCAGTCCACAGTGGAAGATTTGGGATTGTCTCTGTCACAGTTCACTAGCAGGATGGCGCCCTGCCCATGAGGGCCCCAGGTCCAGGTCCTCTGTGGACACCCAGCAGAGACGGGGCACACTTAGGAACCTGTGTATGTCCCTCCAACTCCTGGGAAAGCCCAGCCACCTTGCCCTAGCACCTCAATAGCCTTTTGTGATTTACACATTTTGTTCCCACATCAGGTAATGTTTTGGTCCCAAGAGTGGATTTTTGCCTGCCCCGAAAGTCATAAACAAATTCCACTCATCCACTTAAAAAAAGGAGTCCAAGACAGTAAAATTGATTTCAACAGCTTTTAAAAACTGTTGGATTAGCAAACAAAACTGCGCTAAATATTTGTGTCTAGACTCAAATCTAAATAGCTCCTCTTCTGAGAACTCTTAATTACTCCTTCACCGAAGTGTGGGCACTATTCCTAGCAGTTGGTTACTGTCTGCCCAAAGATGAAAGCAAATTTAGCAGCCCCTCCCAGCAGGAATCTAATAGTGATGACGTCTTCTGTTTGTAGGAGAGCATTCTCCCCCGGGGAATGACTGTGTTTTGGGAGGGACCCAAGGATGAATTCCACTCCCAGAGCTGTAATTCCTCCCCCCACTTTTGACTGACCCCACAAAGGGATATTAATTTTTGACAGGTCATATCATCTTAAAGTGCACACCAGCATATGGAGAATTCCCTGGCGGTCCAGTTAGGACTTGGTGCTTTCACTGCAGGGGGCACGGGTTCGATCCCTGGTTGGGGAAATACTATCCGGCAAGGCACACAGTGTGGCCAAAATAATAAATAAATAAAATACAGTGCACACCAGCACAAAAATGTGCAGGCAGCTTTGGGGTTTCAGGGACACCCTGAGGTTTATCCATGGACCCCAGTTAAGACGATTCATCACCTGCGTACGACATCACCCTATATTTCTGCAACATACATTCCCTCTCCCCACCTGGCTCCTTCCCTCCTCTATCCCCTGCCTCTTTTCTTTATTATTCACCTCATGTGAACCTCTCCCACCAGTAGCTAAAGTCTAGTATAGGGGATTTTTTTTTTTTTTGGCTGCGCTTTGCGCTTGCGGGATCGTATTTCCCCGACCAGGAATCGAACCCGTGCCCCCTGCAGTGAAAGTGTGGAGTCCTAACCATTGGACCGCCATGGAATTCCCCATAGTATAGGGAATTTTTGAGCCAGAGTTGAGACCTGCCTGCAAATTTTCTCTCTGCTGTGCATGAACTGGGTGAGTCTAGTTTCCAGTTTGTGGGACAACACATTCTCTGAACCCACAATCATGAAAATCTAGTTTTGTAGAATAGATGGGACCTATGTAAACCAAAACGGTAATGGTATTCGTGATTTTAATTTTCTTTTTTTTCCTGTTCTTAAATTTGTTTCGTTTACTATTAACATGGATACGTGAGACAGACCGCTGTTCACCTCATCACCACCAGGGGGCGCGCTAGGAGAAGCCAGTGGAGTTACGGGAGCATTTGGGGCGCCGGACAAGGTCGAGCCATACCTGGTCCTTCCTGCCTCCGGTGGACTTCATTTTGCCAGTGCGAGTGAAGTCCGCGCTCAAGGAGATTTCTGAAATCCCGGGGAGTAAGAGGAGAGGGATAGTGAGGGTGCAAGGTGGGAGCACTCAGTCTGGTCCCAGATGGACAATCCTTTCCCCAGGAGACCTATCTGCGCAAAGGCTTCTTTCTCACTGGTTCAGAGGAGACACAGGTTCTAAGACACCCCCAAGTCTCCCAAGAAGAAGTCTGGCTGCAATTCTGACAGCAGAGCCGGGGCTTCTAACCACACACATTCTCCTCTCATGGAGGACCTGCCACAGCTGTGTTGCCAACCAGACCCTGCATGTCTGGCCATCCCCAGGGGTCTCAGAAAGAGTTCCCGGCCACCCCAATGGATGTATGGTACGAAGCCCCTGCAAGGACACCTTGCCAGGCTCTCAAAGGCCTCTGGCCCCAACTCCAGCCCCAGTGACTGGAGTAGGGGACACAGTGGTTATTCCAACCCCACCTGGCTCTTCGTTCTGTGTACCGTGACTGCACTGGGGACAAACCACAGCCCCAAACGTACCCTGCTCTGTCCAAATGGCATGGCTGAGAAAGCATATGTTCGCTTCTGAATCCTTCCCCTCTCATCAGAGCGCATGACTATATGGTCGTTCCAATGACATTGTGTAGCGACCCCGTGAGCTCACAGAATGAGATTGACCTAGATGACATTTTAAACATATCCATAGCCATGTATCGATGTTGGGCCATAGAGCATAGCGCTTGGTGGCCAGAACTTCCTGGCTCCTTTGCTAACCAGCTGTGGAATCTTGGGCAAGTCCCTTTACCTCTTGTACCTCAGTTTCTTCATCTGTAAAATGTGGTAATATTAGTGCCAATTTCATTGGATTGTTGTAAGGTTTAAATGTAAAGTCTTGGCACCCTGCCTGGCATAGAGTAAGTGCTATATAATGATAACAACAACAATAATAATTATTATTATGAAAATGTGTATTAATGAAATAAATGAATGAAATTCATTAATGAAAAGAAACCTGGAGCTTTCACATGCTGTTCATATATTTAACGTATGTTTAAATAGTAATAATAATATTATGATACTATTGTCCCAGATGAGGTCAAGTTAAAAATGTACTTTATTTAAAGAAGAAGAATAAATAAATACGAGTACAAGCAGATCACTGATGTGGCAAAAATGGTGAAGATGGGATGTAAATAATGGAATTTGGGGAACACTGGTCTATATTATTGCATAAAACAGTCTCAACGGGCTTCCCTAGTGGCACAGTGGTTGAGAGTCCGCCTGCCGATGCAGGGGACATGGGTTCGTGCCCTGGTCCGGGAAGATCCCACATGCCGCGGAGCGGCTGGGCCCATGAGCCGTGGCCGCTGAGCCTGCACATCCGGAGCCTGTGCTCCGCAACGGGAGAGGCCACAACAGTGAGAGGCCCACGTACGGCAAAAAATAACAACGACAACAAAAAAAACAGTCTCATCATCTACTTTTTCTCATAAATATTTGAGGTTTCAAAAAGGTATAGAGACTCGTATGTTGAAAATCCACGTACCACTTCCTAAGCTGAGAAATCAAATATTGAGATGTAATTGAAGCTTCCTGCAAATGCCCTCTCTCCCCAGCTCTATTCTGGGTTCACTGACTGGGGAAGGAATACTTATGAACTACCAGATGCATGACTGGCTAGAAATTATCCTTTTCTCTGCTCAGCCTAAAGTAAGCTTCAGGGTGTAGTTTCTCCTGGAGAGATGCCTTGCATGGGTGTGTGTGTGGAGGGAGAGGGGTGGTGCTCCAAGGTCCCTGGCGTCACTTACCGACCCCAGGGATGTAGAGCAGGACTTCAACTGGAGTGGTCTCGGGTCCATAGTATGAAATCTGAACCTATAGGACAGAAGCCAACCACTAATGATTTCCCTTAGTCATTCAACAAACACTAACTGGCCTGCTATGTTCCAGCTCAGAGCAGCGTGCTGAGGAGACAAGGATCAGGCTCCCAGCCTGTTAGGAGCACCCCAGCTGGTGGAAGTGGAAGGGGAGCAAAACACTCAGGTGACTATGATGTACAGAAGAGGGTCCTTTGGGAGACCAGGGAGGCAGCGGCTTCCTCTGCCTGTATGGTGTCAGGAGTTCAGCAGATGGGGATGTGGTGGAAGAGGCATTGGAGGGAGAGTGGCAACACCAACTCCCACTGCCCAAGGTTAAAAATCCAGGAAGAACCCATCTGATTGGCCCAGCCTGGCCAGAGGAGGGCAGAGTGTCAGGAACCACACTTCTAAGCAAGTTGATGGAGGGGAGTTCCCCAAAGCAAAACCAAAGAGCTGCCACCAGAAGAAGGGGAGCTCCTGAGGGTCGCACTGAGGTGTCTCGACCTCTCCTGCAGATAGTGGGAATCCAGGGAAGTGTCACAGCCACTGTCACCTTGCATCTGGACCACGGCATCAGCCTGCTGACTGGTTGCCCTGCCCCCAGTCTGCTGCCTAGATGTAACTGACTCACTACACTGCAGCCAGTGGGTCTTTCTAACATACATATGTGGTCTTGTTACTCCTGGATGAAAGGTTTTCATTGGCTTCCTGTTGTCCTAAGAGAATGAGGTCTCTGATGCCAAACTCTCTAATACTGGCTCCCTCTCTCCCTCACCTTCCCTCCTACCTTCCTTTCTTTCCATACAGCTCTTCCTCAGCTTCTCCAACACACATCTCACCCTCTCTTATCCAGAGCGTGCACACAGGCCACATCCCCTGTGTAGAGCTCTCGCTTCTCTTTTCCTCTCTTAAGCAGGTCATTGATACCATCCATCAGCTTGCCACTTCTCCCAGGAAGCTTTCTCTGATTGCACCCTTGCTGACCGGCTTTGATGCCCAAGGTCTGTATTCTTACAGCAGGCAACAACTCTGCCCCAGGAAGTATCCTGCTTGGCCTGTCCTGCTGGGAACAAGTGGCTGTTGTCCCAGATCCCTGTGGGAATCCTGGAGGGTCCTGTTGAGTCCATCTATAGTCAATGCGGCTACAGCGGGTTGAATGGTGATTCCCCAAAAGATACGTCCACCACCTAATCCCTGGATCCTGTGAATGTGACCCTATTTGGAAAAAAAGATCTTTGCAGATGTAATCAAGAATCTTGAAATGAGATCATCCTGTATTTTCCAGACAGGTCTTAAATCCAATGACAAGTGTCCTTATAAGAGTGAGGCAGAGGGAGATTTGACAGGTTGAGGAGGAGGTAATGGACCACGGAGGCAGAGATTGGAGCGATGTGGCCACAAGTCTAGGAATACCAGCTGCCACCAGAAGCTGGGAGAGACAAAGAACTGATTCTCCCCAGAGCCTGCAGAGGGCTGGGGCTCTGGGTCGACTGAGTGGCTGACCTGTTATGACCTGCTGACCTCCTCCTACACATCCCAGCCCACGGCTGCCACACTCACCTTCCGGTCACCTGTGCTATCGCTGGCAGCTCTCATCTTCAGGCTCACCTCCAGCCCAGGGTCCAGGGGCCACTTGGAGGAACCTGTGAGATTCTTCTTGGCTGGAGGGTGGTGGGCAACATCTACGACCACTCCTGGGGAAGCATTGATGCTAAGGGATGTGCAGTCCTTGGGGGCAGAGCTGTGGAAGAGACAGATGGGGAGGACAGGGGGACACGGTGAGGCAGTGCCTGGCCCACTACTGCTCTCCCCACTGTTCTTCCTTTCCCCACCAGTGTGGACACCAGAAGGCAGCCAGACTGACCCTGACCCTGGGAGTAAGTACTGGTAGGTTGTCAGGAGGTAGTGAGAAACAGAAAGAAAATCCCCTGACCTGGAGAGGTTACGCTTGAACTAGGAAAAGACACACACACACAGATGTATGCATAGAGTGACGTGTGTACCCGAGGTTTATATTACACAGACACGCACACACAGTGTTGTGCATATACGAAGAATCGCACGAACAGTACAAACAGGACTCTGAAGGACCTTCCCTACAAAACAACTGGATCATGGTTAGAATATACTTTTGTATTTATTTATTTATTTATTTTTGGCTGTGTTGGGTCTTCGTTTCTGTGCGAGGGCTTTCTCTAGTTGCGACAAGCGGGGGCCACTCTTCATTGCGGTGCGCGGGCCTCTCACTATCGTGGCCTCTCGTTGGGGAGCACAGGCTCCAGACGCGCAGACTCAGTAGGTGTGGCTCACGGGCCTAGTTGCTCCGCGGCATGTGGGATCCTCCCAGACCAGGGCTCGAACCTGTGTCCCCTGCCTTGGCAGGCAGATTCTCAACCACTGTGCCACCAGGGAAGCCCTAGAATATACTTTTCAAAACATTGCTGAGATGTGAAAAGTAAGGGAACTTGCCAAGAATTCCCTTCTCTGCATACACTCACACATACACACACACATACACACACACACACACATACACACACAGACACACACACAGACACACACACAGACACACACAGACACACACAGACACACACATACACACACAGACACACAGACACAGACACATACACACACAGACGCACAGACACACACACAGACACACAGACACACATACACACACATACACACACAGACACACACACAGACACACACACAGACACACACATATCTCACTGTGGTTAAGAATACCAAAGACATGGGGCTTCCCTGGTGGCGCAGTGGTTGAGAGTCTGCCTGTTGATGCAGGGGTCACGGGTTCGTGCCCCGGTCCGGGAGGATCCCACATGCCGCGGAGCGGCTAGGCCCATGAGCCATGCCCGCTGAGCCTGCGCGTCCGGAGACTGTGCTCCGCAATGGGAGAGGCCACAGCAGTGAGAGGCCCGTGTACCGCATAAAAAAAAAAAAAAAAGAATACCAAAGACAAACAGATCTTAAAGGTATCCAGAAAGAAGAAAAGTCAGGTCACCTATAAAAGAATAATAATTATCAATAGATTGAAAGTAGACTTCACAACAGCAGTAATGAAATCCAGAAGAGAGTTGAATAATATCTTCAAAGTATCTTGAAAACATAACTATTAACGTAGACTTGTGTACATAAAAAATTATATTTTAATAAAAACATTTTCAGATGAAGAAAAACTGATGTTTTAAAACCAACACACTTTCACTAAAGCAACTTCTAAAGACATTCTTTAAGAAGATACCTAATGTCAGAATCATCTGGATTCAATAAAAATGGTGAACAAATAACATGGTAAATATTTTGGTAAATCTAAAAAATATTGTCTGTATAAAAAAAAGTTTATAAAAATATCAAAATTGTGAGATTAAAAAAAAGAGCAGAATGTAAACTGGGAGAGGTAATGAGAGTTAAAGTGGTATGAGGTCTTCAACCGAAGAGAGAATTAAGATAGTGTTGAATTCTAGAAATGTAAAAGTATTCACCAAAAGAAAAGAAATGGAGTTTATAAATTTCTATACATGGAGAAAATGCAATAATTTTTTAAAAGAATGGATAATTCCATTCAAAACGGTGATTACAGAGAAAAAGACAACATAGAAAAAAATAGACAACCAAAAACTAAAAAGCAAATGGTAAAAGCAAACTCAAATATACAAATGATCAAAATAAATATAAATAATGTTACTAGTTAAAAGAGAGTTTGGGACTAGATAAAGAAATAAAATCCAGCTCCATGCTATTTATAAGAGGTGAACCTAAAATACAAGGATCCAGGAAAGATGAAGTTTTAAAAAAAAAAGGAAAAAAGATACATTAAGCCAATATTAGTCAGGAGAGAGCTGGGATGGATATAGTAATATCAGACAAAATTAATTTTTAGGCAAAAACCACACTATTAGCATATAATTTACATTAGGAAGAAATACTGTAAAGTACCTAGGATAAACCTAACAAAAGATGTGTAAGGCTTTTATGGAGGAAAATGATCAAACCTTATTGAAATCCATTAGAGAAGACCCAAATTAGAAGAAAGAAATACCATGAACATGGTTAGGAAGGCTTAATATCATCATGGTATGAATTCTCTCCAAATAGATTCATGTGGTCAGAGAAATTCCAGGGTTTTACTTGAACTTGACAAGTTGATTCCAAGGTTTACTTGGAAAACCAAGGGGCTAAGATAGTCAAAGTACCTTGTAAGAAAAAGAAGCAAAAGGTGAGGGACTTGCTCTACCACGTATGACTTACTGTGAAGTCATGGATTGCATTGTAATGGCTTAGGTAAAGAAAATGACAGATGCAACTTAAGAGAGATTCTCCTTGATCTATGACAGAGGTGGTCTTGCAAATAACTGGAGAAAGTGAAGATTGTGTAATAAATGGTGCTGGGACAATTGCTTATCCATATGGAAAATGAATACATTGAATAAATAATTAAATTCATCCCATCCTCACATCATGTACTAAAGACTTAAGAAAGACAGAATTTTGCATCTTTTTTTAAAAAAGTAGCTCATTTTCTAGAGAAGTTTTAGGTTCACAGCAAAATTGAGAGGAAGTTACAGAGATTTCCATATATCTCCTGCCCCAACTGCTGTATAGCCTCCCCTATTATCAACCTCTTCCCCCAGAGTGGTACATTCATTAGAATTGATGACCCTACATTGACACATAATTATCACCCAAAGTCCACAGTCTACATTAGGGTTCCCTCTTGGTGTTTTACATTCTGTGGATTTGGACAAATGTGTAATGACATATATCCACCATTATAGTACCATATCAAGTAGTTTCACTGCCATAAAAATCCTCTGTGCCGCATCTAAAGATGAGTTGGCTATATCTATGCACGGTTTCTGGTCTCTATTCTATTCCATGTTTCATTTGTCTATTCCTTTGCTAATACCACATTGTCTTGATTACTGTAGCTTTACAGTTAAGTCTTTTTCTAAAAATAATTTTTATTCGGATATAGTTGATTTACTTTACAGTAAGTCTTGAAGTCAGGTAGTGTCGGTCCTCCAACTTTGTTCTTCTTCAATATTCTGTTGGCTATTCTGGGGTTTTTTGTTTGTTTTGTTTTGTTTTCTTTGTTTTGTGTCTCCATATAAACTTTAGAATCAGTTTGTTGATATCCACAAAATAACTTGATGGGATTTTGATTGGGATTGCCCTGAATCTACAGATCAAGTTGGGAAGAACTGACAATATTGAGTTTTCCTACCCTTGAACATGAAATAGCTCTCCATTTTTTTACTTCTTCTTTAATATCTTTCATCAGAGTTTTGAAGTTTTTCTTGTACAGACTTTATACATATTTTGTTAGATTTATACCTAAGTATTTAATTTGGGAGGGGTCAAATGTAAATGGCATTGTGTTTTTAATTTCAAATTCCATTTGTTCATTGTTGGTATACAGGAAAGCAATTGACTGTGTCCTGCAACGTTGCTATAGTTGCTTATTAGTTCCAGAAGTTTTTTTGTCAGTTCCTTGAGTTTTTCTACATAGATCATCATGTCATAGGTGAACAAAAAAAGTGTATTTCTTCTCAGTAGGTATCCCTTTTATTTCCTTTTCTAGTCTTAACCATTAGCTAGGACTTTCCATATTGTGTTGGAAAACAGTGGGGAGAGGGAACACATTTGCCTTGTTCTTGACTTTAGTGGAAAACTTCAAGCTTCTCACCATTAAGTGTGATGTGAGCTGTAAGTCTTTTGTAGATATTCCTTTTTTTTTTTTTTTTTTTGTGGTACATGGGCCTCTCACTGCTGTGGCCTCTCCCGTTGTGGAGCACAGGCTCCGGACATGCAGGCTCAGCAGCCATGGCTCACGGGCCCAGCCGCTCCGCAGCATGTGGGATCTTCCCGGACCGGGGCACGATCCTGCGTCCCCTGCATCGGCAGGCGGACTCTCAACCACTGTGCCACCAGGGAAGCCCTTGTAGATATTCTTTATCAAGTTGAAGAAGATCTCCTCTATGCTTAGTTTACTGAGACTTTTTATCATGAATGAGCATTTGTATCTTTCAAAAGTTGTTGGAGACATCTTAATGCCCGTAATTAAACAAGACACAAAATCCATAAACAAGAAAGAAAAGATTGATAAATTCAACTAGATGAAAATAAATAACTTCTGTTCATCAAAAGACTCTATACAGTGAAAAAGCAAGCATAATCTGAGAAGAAGATATTCACAGCATAAAACCTACAAAGCCTTAGCATCCGTAATATTTAAAGAGCTTAGGCTACTCCACATGAAAAAGACAAACAACTCAGTAGAAAAAACAGCCCAGGGCAAAAGATGCAAACAGGCCTTCACAGAAATTGAAACCCAAGTGGATGATAAACATCTAAACAGGAGCTCCACCTCACTAATAAGTAAGGAAATGAAATATTAAAGCCTTGAGACAGGGTTTTACACCTATTTGATTGGTAAAAAACAACATCGTAGACTATATGGTTCAACGGCAACTTTAACACACCGCTCATGGGAGTGTCAAGTTAAGCACTTTGTAAAAGAACTTGCTGTTATCTTGTAAAGTCAAACATTAGCCCACCCCAAACCCAGCAATTCCACTCTTGGAGAATCTTTTGCACACGTACACCAGGAGACACGTTCAAGGATGTTCAGAGCAGCCCTTTCTGTGACAGTGAATGACCCACAGTGAAATCCTCACAGACAGAAGGGCTGATAAATTGGGGCAGATTCAAACCATAGTGGAAACAACTGAGAGAGGCGGCCCTCACTCCACAATGTCACAAGACGTGGATTTTATGATTACACTTTTCATTTTTGTTTTTGTAATAAAGTTCTTTGTCTCCATATCAAAAGCTGTAGGTATCCCTTATAGAGAATTAGGGAAATACGGGAAAAGTACGTGGCGGGCAGGCTTCTGAGATGTCTCCAATGATCCCCACCTCTGGTGTTCATGCCCTTGTGTAACTCCCTGCCCCTGAGTGTAGGAAGTCTCCCCAGAGACTTCCTTTCAACCAATGGAAAATGGCAAAAGTGATGGGCTGTTACAAAAGACCTCTTCCCCCACCTCCTTTTCTTTCTCTCTCCTCTCTCTCTCTCTCTCTCTCTCTCTCTCTCTCTCACCTTCGCTCACCTTGATGAAGCCAGCTGCCATGCTGTGAGCTATGGAGAGGCCCACATGGCAGGGAACTGGGGGAGGCTTCCTGCCAGCCACGTGAAGGGAACTGAGGCCGTCAGTCCACAAGCCCACGAGGAGCACAATTCTGCAAGAGCCACATGACTGAGCTTGGACGCAGGGCTGCCCTGGTCAAGCCTCAACGTGACTTTAGCCCCGCTGACACCTTGACTGCAGCCTTTGAGCCCCCAGGGCAGAGGGCCCAGCTAAGCCACACTGGATCCTGACCCACAGAAACTGTGAGATCATAAACGCTATTGTTTTGAGCCAGCATGTTTCGGGGCAACTTGTTACATGGTGATAGATAGCCAATACAGGATCAGTCCTTGACAAAGACACCATTCCACTTCTGCTAAACTCTAACAGCAGGCGTCCCTGTGTGCTCCCTGGTGCCGGCACTGGCTTTCCTACCTGCCCCCAACTGCTCCCAGCACAATAGTGGCCCGGTAGCAGGATGGCTGGGTCGTCGTCCCTGGGAGGCACTGACTGTCTGGGTCGGGGAGACAGCCAGGGTCAATGTGGACGACGTATACAAACTATGCCTGCCACCACATCAAATAGCCCAGGGGCCAGTCTGTCTACACCAGCTGGCTACGGCACGTGCCTGTGGATGTGGTGTCTGCAGCCGGCTTGGGCTCTTTGGGATCAGACACTTGCCTGCAGACTAGCAGGGACGCAGGGGCTCAGCTGCCCATGGGAAACCTCTCCCAGGCCAGCCCGGGAACAGCAGGCAGCCTCAAAGGGCTGGAGAGTGGCGATGGGCTTGGGCCACTTCTGACAGGCTGTGTGACCTTGGCCTAGGCACTGACCCTCTCTGGTCTCAGTTTCTTTCTCTGTAAAATGGGAATAATGTTTACTCCGATGATGCTTTCTACGATGTTGTGCAGATTGAAGGGCCCATGTGTGGTGCTCGCCCCTCTTCAGTAGCTAGGTAATGATATCAGAAATGAAGGGACATGATGGTAACAGTAATAATAAGGAATGCGTGGCCCTTGCTGGAGAACAGTTCACGTCCAAGGGATGGTACAGCAGAACCAGTGCCCCTCTGCTCAAGTGCCTCAGTTGACCCTACACCTTCCTCGCCCTGGTTTCTCTGCCAAAGCCCGGAGGCTCCTTCTCTGCTCCACGCGCAGCTGTTTGCCTTTAGGCTCACAAAGCCGGGGTGGGAAGCCAGGCGCCCCCAGCCGCCCAGGTGCCGTGGCAGGAGGATGGGGATGGGAGACGGACACGCCATGTGTCTGTTACAACAGGAGAACGAGCAAGCGGCTCAAAGAACAAGGGGGAGACAGAGACTTGGAGACAGAGACAGTGGGGGACAAAGCGGGACGCAGGACGTGCCTGCGGGGCGGTTCCCCTCGGCTTGCTCCGCCTGGCATGGCTTCCTCTCCAGAACCGAGAGGAGGGCGTGGACAGATGGGTCTGCCACCTGCTGGGGCTCTACAGCCATCCCATCCTCTCTGCCAGATGGGAAGCCAAGGCTCAGAGAGGTAAGGCCCTGCTGGGAAGTGGCACCACCGGGATTTGATTTAGGATGTTTTCCAGACCCTCTCAGGTCCCAAACAAGGGACTTTCATAAACACACAAGGGTTTTTACTGTGTTGGGGGCTGGGGGACCCGTGTGTGCTATTATAAGATAACCCAGAGCTGAATCTTCTAGTCACTTCCAATAGCCTCCATAGAGGGAGCACCAAGAACTTGAGCCCCAGACAAATGACATCATTCCTTCAGCTCCTGCGTCTAACATTTCCTTACAACGACCACCAGATGGGCAGCGGCGTCTGCAACATTGTCACTTTCAACAACACATGCAATCCTTACGGAAAAGGGGGACCACTCTGCCAGACTCTCGGCAGGCGTTGTATAATTTAATCCTCACTGCAACTCAGCAGGGTGGGTGTTAATTTCCCCATTTTACAGATGAGTAAACTGAGGCTCAGAGACACTAACAATCTTGCCCTGCTCCCCACTGTCACACTGAGTGGTTTCCTGTTGAGAAGGAGGCGCCAGAGGAAAAGGAGTACCCCAGTGATTGCAGCTCCAGAATGCCCACGGTCCTCCGTGGTTGCCACCTCCTGGAACCCACCCCCCACCCCTTCTGGATCTCTCAAGCCCTCTGGAAGCTCTGGAAGCTCTACCAGCCAGGCAGCAGTGCCTAGCAAGGCCAGACCCACAGCACTGGGAGGCAGCGTGTGCTGGGGAAGCAGGGGGAGTTTGGGGGTCAGAATGTCCTGGGTTCAAATCTCCTGGCTTGGACACCTCTAATTTGGGTGACCTTGGGTAGGTGTTTTCACTTCTTGAGGCCTCAGTTTACTCCTCTCTAAAATGGGCATGCCGATAGTGTTTACCTTGCAGAACTTCTGTGAGGATTAGAAACCAGGAACAGAAGGGCCTGGCACGTGGTAGCTGGAGTCATGATCCCTCCCTGACTCCAGCTGCAAGCATCACAGAAAGCCCTCGACAGGTTTCAGTATTCATCTCAGGTCAGCGGAATTTTGTTTGAATATAATCAGTGTATTTCCCATTGCAGACAAAGTACCTTCCAAACTCAGAATGAAAATCGTAAGCAGAGCTTGTCAGAGCAGCTCTGGAAAGGCACCCATAGCCTGTGGTCTGTTCCTCTACAACCTTGTCTTTCTAAGCCCTGGGACCTCTGAGCCCAGCTGCAGGGACACAGCTTGAGCAAAGGTACGGAAGCTTGTGCTGGGAGGGGGTCAAGGAGGCAGTGCTGGCGGGGGGGTTGCCAAGCCCATCTGTGTTTTTGGAAGGAAATTCAGGCCGAGCGAGGGTGGTGGCTGCTTAAGACGTGGGTGCTGGCAGGGAGCTGCTGTGAAGGGCAGGCAAGAAGTGACAGGAAGGGCTGGTCCAGGGATGGAGCGGCAGAGAGGAGGGTCCCAGAGCCAAGCTGCCTGGGTTTCAATCCTGGCTCCCTTACTAACTAGCTGTGTGGCTTCAGTGGGTTACTCAACTTCTCAGAGCCTCAGCTTTCCCTTCTGCAAAATGGGAATTACAGCACTGCCTACCTCCTAAGGGGGCTGAATGAGTTGTGTGCACCAAGTGTGATGTGAATATCAGCCGTTATTGTGTGAGAAACCACACATCACAAGGGCGCTTGAATACAGAGCTCGATGCCTCACTGATGGAAGGGCTGTCTCCTGGGAGTCGGGTGGCCTCCGATGACCGTCAGCCTCTTCTTCCTCTACTCCTCACCCTCTCAGTCTCTGCTGTTCTCCTACTGCTGGCTGGGGGCTGGAAGCGAGCGACACTTCCAAGGAAATGTGCCAGACACCCCTGTGGGCACCATTCTAGGACCGCAGACGCTCAGCCTGGAGCATCTGTGGAGCAACAGATGGAGGAAGCCAGGGGCTGCCACCACTATTACTGACAACAGCAATGACCCCAACCACGCCCACCAAGAGCGTTTCTAGACCATCTTGTTTAGCCAGAGCCTGGCACAGGGCTTGGACATAATAGATATTCAATCGGTATTTGTTGAATGAATTAATTAATGGATGAATGAATGAACAACTACCAGGGGTAGGCCCAGCACTGTGCTAAGTACTTAACAAACATTTTTATGGTTTTCACATTTAATCCCTACAAGCACCCTACGAAGTGAGTATAATCCCCATTTCACAGATGAGGAAACTGAGGCTCAGTTGCCCAAGGCAGCCCAGCTAGCCAATAGCAGGGCCTGGTCTCCTCCTCGGCCTCTCCATGCCACAGCCTGTCTCATCACTCCCACGCTATTACCCACCCACGGAGGGAGGCTTGGCCAAGAGGTGTAGGGCAACAACTGCAGGGGGATCCAGGTCTGGGCTATGAAGTCCAGGGTCCAGCCTTGCTTCCAGGGCACACTTGCTGTGTGACCTTCGGTAAGTCACAGACCCTCTCTGAGCTCCCATTGCCTCAATGGTGAAAGGATATGGTCCTGTTTGCCCTATAATAATGCATTTGTGTTGGGCTTCCCTGGTGGCGCAGTGGTTGAGAATCTGCCTGCTAATGCAGGGGACATGGGTTCGAGCCCTGGTCTGGGAGGATCCCACATGCCGCGGAGCAACTAGGCCCGTGAGCCACAATTACTGAGCCTGCGCGTCTGGAGCCTGTGCTCCGCAACAAGAGAGGCCGCGACAGTGAGAGGCCCGCGCATCCGCTTGCCACAACTAGAGAAAGCCCTCACACAGAAACGAAGACCCAACACAGCAAAAATTAATTAATTAATTAATAAACTCCTATCCCCAACATCTTCTTTAAAAAAATAAAATAAAATAAAAATAATGCATTTGTGGTGAGGCCCTGGGGAAGACCCACTTGTTCATGGCAATGAACTCACTGCCTTGAGTCCACGCACATCCCAGGGCCACTCAGGTCTAAGCTCTCTAGCTTCTCCCCTGCCGGTGGCTGCAGAGGCTGGAGCCTGAAGCTTGAGGCAAACACACGTCTTGTGTCAGCAGAACCTGCTCATCCAGCATCACCAGACCTTCCCCCCAACCCCAGAATGTCCCCTGCTCACCCGTAGACATCCAGCTGCGTCTCGGTGCCCAGCACACACACGGCATAGGTGGGCTGCTCTGGGGCCACTGGCTCACTGTACCCTGGGCCATCATCTGGCCAGCTCGTCCCTCCGGCTGTAGAAAGCCCCAGGGCTGGTTCGTTCACAGCGCCCAGTGCCCAGCGGAGGCCATGAGTCAGCACCTGTGGTTTGTGGCCCAGCCTCTCCCCACTCAGGTCCCTGGCATGTCTTCTCAGCCCCTCCTCTGCCCTGGAGCTTCCCCCTCAGACCGGGACCCTGTTTGGTGTTGATGCCAGAATCAGTGGCAGCCTGGATCGTTAGTTTCCTGGGAAGAGCCGAGGGATCAGGGGGTAGGGGTGAAATTCTGAGGCCTCATGCCCACTGCCCCATCCCTGCCTGGGACCATGAACTCCTGGATTCATCCAACCTTGCTTCACTGTGCCAAACAGGGTATCAGAGAGGAGAAGACAAGAAAAGTGGGGAGGCTGGGAGATTTTAGGCACAAGGTCACAGACCGGGCTACACATTCAAAGACTGATCTGGCTTGGGCCAGGTCTCACCGGGCTGGGTCACCCACGTGACATCCCACCCTTCTGTATTTTCTGGGTCCCAGGCACCTTTCTCTGGCCGTCTTGTGGAATAACTCAATAAGGCAAGCCTGTGAGGTAGGTACTATTATAATTCCCTCAGTTCATTCTCTCAGCATCTCTCTGAGGTCAGTACAATTATTATCCCCAATTTCCAGAAGAAGAAACTGAGGCACAGAGAGGTTACACAGCTAGAAAGTGGTAGAGCCAGGATTTGAACCAGAGGCATCCTGCTCTTGGGGGTATGAGATGTATCAGCTGCCTGTCCACGTGACACGAGCTTTTCAGACTTTAACACATCTACTTCTTATGGCAGTACAAGGTCTGTATGGGCTTGTTATTACTACCCATTTTACAGAAGGGAAAACAGAGGCACAGAGAAGAAAGGTGATGGGCCCAAGGCACCATAGCTAGTATGTGGCAGAGCTTGAAGCCAGAGTTCCCTGCACACATGGGAACGCTTACTCAGCCGCAGAGCCGTGGGTGTGGGCCACTGGTGCTAGGCTCTGCCTGCTTGTCGGGTGATGGGTGAGGGGTTGGAGGGACAAGTCCCAGAGGGGACACCCAGAGGAGGCGCGCACAGGGATCTGGAGTGAACAGAGTGTGTCTTGGGGGTTGGAGATTGCATGTGTGTTTTTTGTTTTCTCCGGCTTTGAAACAAGGCATTTGCCTCATTAATTAAGAGCCGGGCTGTGGGATTAGACAGGCCTGAGTTCCAATCCTGCTTCATACCAACGTCCCCATGAAGTGGGTCCTATCACAATGCCCACATTATAGTGAGACCACCGAGGCTTCAAAACATGAATTGGGGGTGGGGAGACACAATTCAGTCCATAGCACTGCTGGGCGTGAAGGCTGTTTACAGATCTTCTGTATCATAAACCACTCTGTGATGCATTCCGTGTGCCCGTGTCTGTGGTTATTGGCAGGGACTTTGTGGCTTTACCTTTGTCTCTCTTTTTTCTCTTGCAGAGCATTTGGTTCTTTTCCTGAAATTTGCCACAGCTTGTCATCGTGTGTGTGTGTGTGTGTGTGTGTGTGTGTGTGTGTGTGTGTGTGTGTGTGTTTAAATGTCTGTGCCCCAACTAGGCATGAGAGCAGGGCCTTTGCCAGTTTCAGCTGCACCCTCAGTGCCTAGAACAGCTCCTGACTTGTAGTAGGTGCTCACTAAACCCTTGTGGCTGAAGACCATGGTGTTCTCCAGCACCCAGCACCCAGCCCAGCACTTGACCCACGGTGGGACCCCTGAGGGCAGTTTCCTGTGAGGATCCCTGAGAACCTGGCCTGGCCCTGGCCTGGCCGTTACCCTCACAGAAGACATTACCCTTTCAGAGCCTGAAGGGGGCTTTGGGGTTTGGGAAGCAAATCCTTTTGCACATGAGGGTATCTGGCTCAGAATCCAGGCCAGAAACCCCAGAGGAAGGGGCCCTCTCTTTCTGCTGAAAGGCAGAAACGCCAGCCCAGCTGCTCGCCAGGAGGAAGCCAGGTTGTGCTGAGGGTTGCCTGATGCTCTCTGGGCGTTTGGGGCCAGGTCACTGGGCACCTGAACTGATGCCCCAGTGACCAGCCTGGCTATCCTCCTCCAGGTGAATGTGATGACATCATTCTGGGCAAAGGAACTGGCATCAGGGATCGTTCCCAGAGGCTGCAGGACTGAGTATGCTGCAAAGTTGTGCTTGGAGGAGATGGCCGGGCCATTCTTTGAGTGTTCTTCATTCATAGATAACGCTCAGATTCATTTATTTAGCTCTTCACCCAACAAATATTCATCCAATGCCTCTCAAGTCCATGGCTCTCTCTTAGAGGCTAATTAGGCTTTGTCTAAAACAGATTTACAAGGACTAAGGTGATAACACAGACTCCCATCTATCAGACACCCACCACGTGCCACACTTGCCAGCAGGTCCTTGGGCTCTATTCTTTCTTTCTTTCTTTTTTAATATTTATTTACTTATTTATGTGGTTGCACCAGGTCTTTTTTTTTTAAACCGTTTTTATTGCATACATTTGTATACTATTTTTTTAAAATAAATTTATTTATTTATGGCTGCATTGGGTCTTCATTGCTGCATGCGGGCTTTCTCTAGTTGCAGTGAGAGGGGGCTACTCTTCATTGCAGTGCGCAGGCTTCTCATTGTGGCGGCTTCTCTTGTTGTGGAGCACGGGCTCTAGGCACGCAGGCTTCAGTAGTTGTGGCACGCGGGCTCAGTAGTTGTGGCGCACGGGTTTAGTTGCTTCGCGGCATGTGGGATCTTCCTGGACCAGGGATTGAAACTGTGTCCCCTGCATTGGCAGGAAGATTCTTTTTTTTTTTTTTCTTCATTGATTTTTTTTTTAGCATCTTTATTGGGGTATAATTGCTTTACAATGGTGTTTTAGTTTCTGCTTCATAACAAAGTGAATCAGTTATACATATACATATGTTCCCATATCTCTTCCCTCTTGCGTCTCCCTCCCTCCCACCCTCCCTATCCCACCCCTCCAGGCGGTCACAAAGCACCGAGCTGATATCCCTGTGCCATGCAGCTGCTTCCCACTGGCTATCTACCTTACGTTTGTTAGTGTATATATATCCATGCCTCTCTCGCCCTGTCACAGCTCACCCTTCCCCCTGGCAGGAAGATTCTTAACCACTGTGCCACCAGGGAAGTGCCTGCACCAGGCCTTAGTTGTGGCATGTGGGCTCCTTAGTTGTGGCATGTGAACTTTTAGTTGTGGCGTGCATGTGGGATCTAGTTGCCTGATCAGGGATCAAACCCAGTGCCCCTGCATTGGGAGCATGGAGTCTTAACCACTGCACCATCAGGAAGTCCCTGGGCTGTATTACTTCTAATTCTCACCATAAACCAGTGGGCGGGCTTATAGTCTCATTCCTGCAGAGGCAGGAAGCACCGTGCTCAAGGCCACATGGCTTCTAAGTGGCTTTCAAACCCAGGTTTGTCTAACTTGCTCTGCTTTCTGGTGTGGCCCTTACCTGTGCCAGGCTGCTGACTTGCATCATCTCTAATCCTCACAGCAAAATTTGTCTGAATTATACTCTCCCCATTTTCCAGATGAGGAAACTGAGTCTTGCAGGGGTTAGGTAACTTGCCCACGGTTGCACAGACAGGAAGTGGTGACATTTGGATTGAACTTTACCCCTTGTCCCACTCCATGCAATGTGCAGCTGCCTCCTGGTCAGGTCCCTTGGCCAATGAGCTCTGAAGTCCCTTTGAGCACAAAGAACCCCAGCCTCTCCATAACTTCAAGTAGAAAATTGGGAGTGTATCTAGATCATCCAGACTGGCCAAAATTGGCAAGTCTCCCCTTCTTACTAAGGTGTTCATCTAAGAGCCCTGTGTCTGCACTTTCTTCTCTTTCTGTTCCCACAGCCCTGCCCTGCCCCGAGCACCTCTCCCTGCTCTCCTTCATATAACCCATGCAGGCTCTGGAAGGATTTGGGCACACAAGAGCAACATCTGACTCTAAGATGTGCCAGGCCCTGCCCTGCACTGTTTTTATTGCACCCACTCATGTGAACCCCACAACAACGTGATAAAGGGAAGTCCTGTTAGTCATTGACAGTGAGCATTACTTCAGGGGCAGAGACAGGAGGTGGACTACAGTTCTGTCTGCATTGAAAGCCTGTGACCTTCCACTATGCCATCTTTGAGAAGGAGAAGGGGACCTAGCAAGAGGAAGGTCAATGCCCCTGCATTCCTTTTCTGGAGCTGGCTCCTACCCTATCTTTGACCCCAGGTGCCCACTTTCCTTTTCTAGCATCCAGGATTTCTCCTGGGGAAAATGACCATGAGAATGTCAGCACCACAAAAGCAGAAACTTTCCTTTGTTCATTGCTATACCCTTAGTGCTTAGAATAGTGTCTGGCTCAGAGTAGGTGTACAAGAAATATTGTATTTTATTAAATAGAAAACACCATTTATTTTAAGATACATCCTTGCTCTATCACAATTTGTTGAAAAGACTATCCTTCCTCCATTGAATTGCTTTTGCAATTTTGTCAGAGAATCAGTTGGCCATACTTGTGTGGGTTGTTTCTGTGTCCTCTATTTCATTTACTTGATCTATGTGTCTATCCACCAACCAAACACAGTTTTGACTACTAAAGCTGTATCTTGAAATTGGGTAGACTAATTGCTCTCACTTTATTCTTCTTTTTCAAAAATGTTTTAGCTATTATAGTTCCTTCATAATTTCATATAGTTTTAGAGTAATATTACCTATATCTACAAAAAAATCTTTCTGGGATTCTGATAGTAATTGCATTAAATTTCTATATCAGTTTGGGGAGGATTGACATTTTACTATGTTGAGTTTTCCAATCCATGAACATGGTATGGCTCTCCATTTATTTAGATCTTCTTTCATCAGCCTTTTGTAGCTTTTAGCATACAAGTCTTGTACATTTACACCTAAGTATTTCATTTTCGGGGAACGATTGTAAATGGTATTGTAGTCTTAATTTTGTCCACCTGTTCATTGCTAGTATATCAAAATTCAATTGATTTTTAGGTATTAATCTTGTATCCCATGACTTTGCTAAACTCATTTATTAGTTCTGAGAGTTTTTCAGTAGATTCCTTGGGATTTTCTATGTAAATAATCATGTCTTCTGCAAATAGAGGCAGTTTTATTTCTTCCTTCCTCATTTGTATGTCTTTTATTTCTTTTCTTGGTTTATCACACTTGCTAGAACTTTCAGTACTAAGTTGAATAACAGTGGCAAGAACGGTCATCTTGTTTCATTCTCAGTCTTGTGAGGAAAGTGTTCAGGCTTTCACCATTAGGTATGTTGTTAACTGTAGATTTTTTGTATATGCCCTTCATCAGGTGAGGAAGTTCCTCTCTATTCCTAATCTGCAAAGAGTTTTAATCATGAATGACTATTGGATTTTTCAAATGCTCTTTCTTCATCCATTGATATGATTTTTCTTCTTTAGCCTATTAAAATGGTGGGTTACACTACTTATTGTCGAACAGAACACCAGACACCAGCAACCAATGCTGGGAGAAGACTCCAACTACTTGGAGGATAGCAAGATCATCACAATGCCAGGCACCAGGAAGAGAAGTCCAAACACTTCTGTCCACTGCACCTTGGTATCAAAGTTGCCATGGAAACACAACCGAGTCAAGCACTGGATGGAAATGCTTTTACTCACATAGAGAAGAGAGAGCGGGATCGGCTGCAATAGTGTTCATCAGTCCCTCATGGTTAGCAGGTGCCCCCGGCAGCCATGACAGGGCAACTGGCCTGAGTGCACCCCTCTTGTGCCTCAGGAGAAGAACACCTCCCCCTCCCTCAAGGAGTCTGAAATACTGAAAGCTGAGGGTGCGCCTCAGAGCCGTTGGGCACATGTTTTAACAGAATGCTCATTGAGCCTAAAATAGGGAAAATATTCCTGAGCAAGGTGACAAGCCTGGCACAGGCTCTGTGCGCTCATTATCTCTTAGTAAGGACGTATTCCAGGCCCAGGGCCTCTTCTTACGTGGTCTAGGGGGAGCCTAAAGACTGTGCACATGAGACTGCCTGTACCAACAGTCTTGAATGTTGTAACAGCCTTGCATCCTTGAAATAAACCTCACTTGGTCAAAATATGTAATTCTTTTTATATATTGCTGAATTCTATTTGCTAATATTTTGTTAAGAATTTATGTCTATATTTACAAGTGATATTGGTCTGTAGTTTGGGATTCTTTTGTATTGTTTTTTGTCTGGTTTTGGTATCAGGGTAATACTTGCCTCTTTAAATGAGTTGGGAAATATTCCCACCTCTTCTATTTTTCTGGAAGAGACTATGTAGAATTGGTGTTATTTAATCTTTAAATGTTTAGTAGAATTCTCCAGCGAACCATTTGGGCCAAGATATTTCTTTTTTGGGGAGTTTTAAAATTATGAATTCAACTTCCTTAATAGGTGTAGGGATATTCAAATTTTCTGTTTCATATTGGGTAAGCTGTATTCATTTGTGTTTTCAAGAAATTTGTCCATTTCGTCTAAGTTGTCAAATGTATGTGTGTAGAATGGTTTGTAGTATCCTCTTATCATACTTTGGTTGTCTTCGGGGCCTGTATCGATATCTCTATTACATTCCTGATATTGGTAATTTGTGTCTTTTCTCTTTTTTAATTTGTCAATTCTTGTTAGATGTTCGACAATTTTATTGATCTTTTCAAATAACCAGATTTTTT